ATGCATATCAATTGATATGCACTGTGTCCAGAAAATCATTTTATCCCAATACAGGACAAAGACAAGTCTGTCACGAAAATATTAGCGCCATCATTTGTTATTAGATATATCTTCTTTATATGACTTAAAAAAGACTTAGAAAACTGATGTTTGATAAATTCTCAATGATACAAATCTATAAACAATTTAGTTTCTGTTAGTCTTGTCAAGATTCAAGAAAGGGCAAATTTCTATTAATATTGGTCAATCGTTTATTTTAAATATGCTGTAGGATCCGCAGTTTGACGACTGTTATAAATATCACGTTTTGTGAACACATGGGATTAAATCAGTTTTTGTCGCTTGTTTTTAGGAATTGCAGCGGCTGCAGTGCACCACAATAAAGCTACAATAAAGCTGATAAACAGGTGAAGAACCAAAATAGACAGAAACACTTCTGATTGTTTGCCAAGCCAAACATCCAATAAAAGTTCCACCAAGCCACTACTGAGGCACTGGGGTCAAGTTTCTCGACACAGGCAAAAGAAGGTTCAATGTCCAAACTTATTGATTGTTCTTGATGATTTATTTTCCTCTTTCACCAATTACAGAGCTCAAACTTTCCTCTGTTCTCATGCTACCTCTCTTGCTCTGGTAAAAACCATGAGCTCTGCAACCCAAATGCATGCTGGTCCTTCACCAGGCCCCTAGACTTATAGAAAGTGGACCGACCCAGATTACTTTCTGTCTAAATTTAGAAAATAAATAAGAAAAATAATAAAACAAAAAATAAATAAAATCAACAGTTATCCATCAATGCTGCTGGCACTCGCGCTTCCCACTACTTAGCAGTGGGTGTCAGGTTACATTGTGTTGCATTCAATATTGTCGGACAAAAGAGTTCCATGCGCTTAATGTCCGATTTGCCATAACTATTTATTGAATTTATTGTCGCTAGCTGGGTTGGCAACAGGGGTGACAAGGCTCTCGTTTTGGGGTGGCAACTGCCACCCCAGTAGATCCGCCCCTGTCTTCAAGTAACCCAGTAATATTTTAACATTTCCTGTCAACTGGACATTTTTAACACAAAAACACAGTGGGCCACTGGTGGGCTCCCTCAGCCCCCCAACCACTGGGCCTAGCAAGTTTTCTGGGGGAAATCCTGAATACAGAGTTAATTTACATGCAGCTCCAGTCAAATTAACTTCTAATCCAATTAAAACTTTATCCACTCAGTCATGTCATGTTTTGTTTCCACCTTAGCCTAACGGTTCATGAACCTCAACAGCTGCTGTGACAGATTTTGCTAGCATGCTGACTTTTTCTTATAGATTATGGAATATATTTTTTCATGCTGAAAAAACTGTAGTACAACATCCTCTTTTATTTTACATGAAGTAAATACAGTTTTGCACTTAGTCAGGTTTTTGTTTTGTTTGCTCAGCTTTGAAATGTTGTGAATAATGAGGTTATCTGTTGTGCAGGGCTGGTTTGTCCTTTTTGCTGTGCTTTTGTGGGAATGTTATGCAAACTCTTTATCTGCTGTACCCTTCCTGTCACAAACTGTGAAAAGTAGAAGTTATGTTGATATGATTGATGTGTTTTGTGCAATGTTGCAGTGGAACAGAGTAACTGCTGGCAGTTGGATTCAGTTTCAAAAGCCCAGCCCTCTGCTTCCATGTTCCCTGACATCCATGGTGCCTCCAGCGTGGAGATGCTGGTTGGCAGCCAGAAGAGGAAGGCTAGGAAGTCCAGGATTACACACTTGGTGCGCACGGCTGATGGCAGTGTTTCTGCAGCTGAAGGTGAGTTCTCAGGTGCTTCATTTATGAATCGTTGTGCTTATGGTCTGGGATTTTAACTTTTAACTTGAGCAGCGAGAGGAAAGAAAATGGACTTGTGTTGTTGGGCTGAGGATTTTCTAGTCATTTAAATAATACTACAAAAGTCAGCATAAATACTCTTGGACTAACATGTTTGGGGCTTCACTATGATTGATATACTATACTATAAAGTAACATTTTGCTGTTTTAAGATACCCATTTCATACAGTATATTCTGCCTAAATCACCAAATAAGTGAAATGTGTGTTTTGCTAATTTTTTAGATATGTTCATATGAATTTTTATTTTATTTTATTTTTTACAGAAAACAAAGCTAGGGATCTAAAACAGGAACAGGATAAGAAGCCATTAAACCAACTGAATTTATGCAATGAAAAAAGGTGCTACATCAGTCCCACAGCAGAGGAGACTGGGCGGAACACCTTGCCACCAGAGCTACCTGCTTTCTTCAGCTTGGCAGCCCTTGCTGAGGTAGCAGCCATGGAAAATGTTCACAGGTAAAGAGCTTGGGCTTTCCTCATATATTGTTCAGTAGATGGATAACAACATGAGATGTCTTGGTAGACTTGTGATGTTTGTCCTGTCTCATGTCCATATTTCAGAGGCCAGAGAAGCTTAGCTAAAAGCCAGAAGAAAGAACTTGCACAAACTCCGGTTCTCATATCCTGCGCTGATCAGTGAAGTTATCCTGCTGCTTCTGGAAGAAGATGACATGAACAATAGTAGTGAAGCTTTGCTTTTCTGAGAGGTCATTTGTTTGGACGGCTCGGACAAACTCCAGACTCTGATTTTGCTTGAATCTAATATATGGGGAAAGAAACCCTCTCCTTTTCTCCAGCTTGCCCCTCTGTTGGTGTCTCAGTGTTTCATCCTGAGCCTTTGTTAGGCTTTAGGGAGAATACTTTTCTCAAAGTATAGCTTTGTGTCTTCAATGGATGATGTACTTGACACTCAGTGAATTCCCTACAGTAAGTGGTGGTTAGTACAGTCCAGTTGTTGAGAAACAAGTAGAGTAGGTAAGGTGGACTTTCAGGTAGACTGTTTTCTCAAGCGCACTAGCTGCTTTGAGAAAAATGGTCACAAGAACATTTGAACTGTTGATCTGTTGCCGAGCAGCAGGTCAACAGCTCCTGTGTTATGCAAACTAAAATCATCCCTTTGTCAATAGTTTTTAGATATAAAGGGGGCCATTTATATACTTCCATCACAGTTCCACATACATCACAACTTGAAGAGAGATGGGGTCTTAACTTTTGGAAGGAGCTTTATGAATTGCTTTCTTGGTTTTCAGTATCTCTGCTGTAGTGATCAGAAGATCCTCAGCTTGGGCAGAAAGGAGGATTTGAGGATTTGGTTCATCTGTCAGGAATTCTCAGTGATCCTCCAATTAATGCAAGCTCTCGCTGCTGTGTACCGCAGTGACATGGATCACTCCCAACAGCCACATGCACAAAAGATTCATCTACACTGATGTGTTCCATATGTATGGAAATGAAAACATCAACAATGGCACGTTTTGTGGCTGCAGTCACTATGTACTGTTTAGCACCGCCACCGAAAAGAAACACCGTCTATATTTACACCTGATTAGTCTGTGCAACAAAACCAAGCTTTCCTCAGTTCATGGCTTCCTTTTTATAGGTGGTTCCTATAGATTTGTTGTATATTGTTATAAGGAAGCCATTTTGAAGGTTAAGTGTGACTGAAAAGACCTCACTTTTGAAATGGGGCTGTGAAAGTGCTTTTGACTTGCAGTCATGTTTATCTTGTTTTACCTGATGAATAGTTCCCGCACCTCTCTGAACACATTTGTATGTGGACAAGCTTCTTTGCCTCCAGCTTCATCCCAAAATAACTTTTAACCAGGGTAAATGATCGTGACAGACTTCCTTTAAAGCTGTGGTATGTTACTCTTGTAAAAAATATGTTTTTTTTACATATTTGTTAAAACTGTCATTATGTTGTGACAGTATGATATGAGACAAGTAATCTGTGAAAAAAAAATGAGTTCCTCTGCCTCCTCCCAGTACAAACTACAGAAATACACAGCTCAGTCAGAAACAACCAATCAGAGCCAGGAGGAGGGTCTTAGTGCTGTCAAACACTCTAATGTATGCGCTGCACTCACCCCCTCTCGTCTTGCTTTCTACAATGTTTCAGATTGTCCCTATCAGACCACCTATGATGGCAGGTTAGGTTAGTTGTTTCTTCGCCATTAGCACCATGAGCAGCACGTACATGAGGTTGACTGACATCGCTAAGACCTTCCTCCTGGCTCTGATTGGTTGTTTCTGGTTGGGAGTGTTGCATTTCTTCAGACAGCAACAGCAGCTCAGGGAGAAGGCGGAGAAGATCAATCTTTTCACTGGCTCATAGTATACTGTCAGGACATACTGACAGTTTTAGCAAATATTTTAAAAACTGTTTTTTATATATAAAAACATAGCCCAGTTTTAACAACTACTTGTTCAGTTCATTTTGGTGATATACTAATTTAGTGACCTAGTATGTATCAATGAGCATTTTATATTTATGAGAAGATTTTTTAGTTTAAGCAAAGTTTATGTCAACTAATGTTGGACTGAATGTTAAGAGAAATGCAAATCCCCTACATCTGAACTAGAGTTCATAATAGCAGAGGACTTTGCTATTGCTTATGTTTCTGTTCAGTGTACCTGAAAGTCAGGTGCCTGTTTTTAAAGCCGGCTTCTCAGAACTAAAATCTAGCCTTAACCCTCCCACCTGCACGCTGTTTGCCACCACAAAGCCGTGAAGCAGATTTATCATCTTGGTTTTAGCATATTTAAACAGTAGAATGCAGTTTTCTCACCACTTGAGAAAAATATTTTAATTTCTTGTCTGCATAATTTCCACAGAGCATTCATTGCTTGTGTATTCAGTCTCAAACTGCACTAATTTGAAATCAAAATGATGAAATTTAAATTGCACATGGAAGAGTAAAGCAATGCCCCCACTAGCCACAGGGCTCTTCTACCATAGTTGTGTCTTCGACGTACTGAATCAAGCTGGCTGTAGTTTCCACATGAAAAAACAGCAGTCTGCACTGTGAAGCAAGTTTTAATGGCCTTTTAAAGCAACTTCAGGTTCAGTTCATGATTTTGTCTTATTACCTGTGTCATCTGTATGCTTGAAACCTTCCTTACTCCAAAGCATCAGAAATCCACCAATCAGTGCACATAACAGGGAAAATTAATGAAATAGACAGTAGTATAGAACCATCATCCAGCTTTGACAGAAACAATTTTAAGTTTGCTCTTTTCTATTAATAGTTTTTTTCAGGGCCTAATTCAGGGGTCTGCAACATATTGCTCCTGAGCTGCATTTGGCACTTTGGACATTCCAAAATGGCTTCATAACTTTGGGTAAAGTTATATATAGATTTTGCAGTTGAAGGTTATGTTAACTGGTCTCTCCAAATTGATCTTAGTGTGGGTGTGGATGGTTGTTTATCCTATGTGTGTCTATGTTGCCCAGTGAGGGACTGGAGACCTGTCCAGGCGTACCCTGCCCCTTGCCCAGTAGCTATATTTCCATTACAAATGTGCACAAATCTTTTTCTATATTCTGCTAACATAAACCCTCACCCCCCCACACACAATTTTGCAATTGCGGTGTTTCCATTAAATAAGAAATTAGATTAAAATCTTATGTGAATAAGTTTTTAATAACTTCCAAAAAGTTATTAAAAGTTATGGCAACGAAGAATGTAAACAATTACATAATAATCATAATTTAACCATGGCCCTAGCCAGTTGGCTTATCCCCAGCAGCTAACGACTGCTGCAGATTAACCACCAGCTCTCTCCCTGCAGTACAAGTGAATGGAGATGACAGATAAATGCAACATAATTAGTAAAATCTATTTTTTCTTTGATTAGATTATTATCATTATGTATCACTCATCTTTTGGCACAAGTTTTTTTATGATTATTTTACAACCTAAAAATGGAAATAAAATTGTGGTTATTTAAGAATCACAACAAATGTCAAAATATATATTTATTGAAAAAAGTAGGTGGTCTTTTTTCAAAGTATCATGCAAAATTTTAAACACATTTTATTTATCTGGACTGATGGCAAAAATGGCTTCTTGGATTATAAAGGTTGGATTCGCCTGACATAGAATAGAGAAGCTCTTTCGCAGTCCTACTATAAGTAAATATTTAACACTTTAATAAAGTATTAAGGCAAGACATTAAAAAAACTTAAATATAAACATTTAAATCCTTCTGAATAGTACTAATGAATAAAATTAACTTGTGCCTTGTGCCTAACAAGTGACACATTTAGGAATAATAAATATAGCTTTAGCTGTACAATAGTTCATTAATTTCATGCATCCATTTTTTTGCATTGTTTTTTTTATGCTAAATTGTTTTTCAGCTCTATTTCATTTTGTTTTATTTTATTATTTATTATGTCAGTCCAACTCTGTTTGTTTTAAATGTACAGTAAGTGCTGAGGTGATCAAGTCAGTCTTATAATACCAGTAAACATCATCCTTACGGTTTGGGTTAGTTTTACCCAATCTACTGAAGAAACCTGCTTCATAGTGTAGGCTTGCGTTTAAGTCTCAGATCCAGTGTTTGCTTAGTCTGATTTGTTTCATAGTATAAGAAAGCTAGCTAGAGCTAGTGGAGGCAAAGCATTTAGCTGATTCCTGTTGTTGTTGCTCAGAGTATATATGCATATATATATTTCTGTATATATCAACAATACTCGATAAGAGTCATTTCATTCCAAAGTCCCTGTTTTTATTTCAGCAATGCAGGTTGTTGTCTTCCCAGATTTGCTGGAATCTTCACAAGCTCATTGATAAACAGAAAAAAAAAAACTTGTCTGCAGTTTTTACCATGACCAACAGCCACACCTCGTTCCCCTGGAGCTCTTTGTTCCTCTGTGTGTAGTCCAATACTTCCATGACCACATTCTAGATAAAATTCTACTGCAATTTAGATAGATTTTTTTTTTTTGTATTTTATTTAATATTGTTCCTTTTTTATTAAAAAATGAGGCCTTTCATTGTTCACAAGTGTGTGAACAATGGATGCACTTGTACTTATCTGGTGGATAAACAATACGCTAGTCCTGTTAGCCCTGCAGCTGGTGTATGTCCTAAAGATGCTTTTTGCTATGGAATGTCACACAAAATGGGTTTTAGAAACCTGGAATTGCTCATTTGGGTTTAAAATACAACAGAGTAGCACAATAGACTACAGAGAACCAAACTACAGTCTGTCATAATTTTAATAAGAATCGGTATATGGAAATGTATATCTTCAGGTGTAAGAAACTTCCATCATTGAAACAGAATTGAAAAACACATGTGCTTTTGTTTTGTCGAAAATAAGGAGTCCCTGCGCCTGTGTCCACATCAACCCTCAACACCCTACCTTCTTAAAGGAATATACCTCCTTACAGCAAGTGAGTTTATTGACATTTGCCAAAGAAAATGAATGGTATGGTTCGAAGGGAAATCCTGTTGGAGGAAATATAAATCATGCTAGCGTAACTGTTGCACTGGATTTTTTAGATGTTTAAATCTTCAGGTAACATTATCAGTACAATTCATTGTAATTATCTAATAAAATTGTGTTTGTTTTTGAATTCAGAGTTTGACTCAACCTCAACACAAGGAATATAAAGTATTTGCACCTTATGACCCAAACCAAAATTATCATGGTCGTTAAACAAAAAAATAAATAAATATATTTCATCCACTCACAGTAGTTTGGGAATTCCTCCATGTACCTAAACATCCAGTAAAAACTGCACATCTACAGATTAGCCCTTCATCCTCTTGACTTTTCTATTTAAAAATGCTTCTTTAAGGTTCAAAATTCTTATATTAGTTACAAAGATTAACTATAATACCCCTTTGTGCTAGTACTGTCTTCTTGAATGTAATCATTTTCTACCTATATTTTTCTAATTCAGCCTTGATTGTACCGTAGGTATGCTATGATGGTATACTGTTGCTTCTGTGCATATTTTGTTCTAACAATTAATGTAAGGACAGCTGCTGCACTGTTAATTCAGTGGAAGTGCGATGAGTTTGCCCAAACGACTTCTTGGAGCAAGTGAGCATCCATGAAACTGACAACTATTGACTGTTGCATTGAGTTTTGGGGTAATCTTTCTCCGGTTCGAAAGTAGGGACAATCCTGCAAAGCAGAATATTTTTGTGCGAGTTTTAGCTTATTTATAGCTCTTCAAAGTTTAGTCAAACTTCAAACAGAAAAAAAAGCATTATATGTATTAGCTTATACATAATCATGTATGAGATCATTCATCCTTAACTAGAATGTAGATTACGCCTTCCTTATTTTTAATCTAAGTTTGCAATGATAGTTTTCAATGCCTACCTAACTGATAAGTTGTATAACAATTGACATTATTAACCATGTGCTTGCCATACATTATGTAAACAATGTTCTTCATGATGTGCTATTTTGATTGTTAAAGCCCAATTTCTTTAGTGCTGCCTTGCCTTACTGTATTCCCATTGTATTGTGGGATCCCCCTTCTCCTTATCAAGCCCACATTGCTGTCAGAACACTGTTTGATGACACAACTATTGCTTGTACAACACCTATTAAAATAACTTCTGTTAAACCTGTCTGTGTGTGTGTGAGAGATAAATTTTATCTATGCATGTCAGTTTTATTTGATTTTGTTTTGGTAACTCCTGGTTAAGGCTGAAGTATGTAACTTACAGAAAAAAGGTCTTTTACTTAAAACTATCACTGTGTCATGAGACAGATAATCTGAACATTTTCAGATTATCAGAAAGAGCAGATAACCTGCTGTTATCAACAGAGTTATGGAGCTCCATCAGAGGGTCAATCCCCCTCATTTATACTGTCACACATACATTACAACAGGTGTGTATGTGTAACATACATACCTGGTATGTCACACATACAGTAAAGCTCTAGACTAAAAAGTCTAGAGCTCTAGTAAATTTTCTGAGCTGTGCCTAAGAAGTCTACAGCTCAGAAAAGAAGGGATAAGTTAAAAGGCTCAGGCAGACACAATCCTAGCCTGTTTGGCTCCCTTGTTGAACCGCCTTTCCTGCACCACCATACCCCCTCCCACTCCACAAAGTTGTTGATGTGGGTGGGAGATCTGGGGGGATGAGGATGGTTTGCATTAAGCACTATTGACATTCAGATCCTCTGGTTGTAAGAGCAGGGGCACGAGGGGTATTTGAGGCTCAGGGGACGGGATGGAGGTGCGCTTAAGCCGCCCCCCACAAGATGCTATCCTTGCCCATATCAAATGTGGGCAGTTGCCTCAGGTGATGAAGGGACATCACAGTTGTCTAAGCCAGATAACCTATTTTAATAATCCCTCAGTTTTACTGCATTCCAGAGAGATGATTCTACTTTTAAACCCTGGTTTGAAAGGGTGACAGGGGTGGAGGGAACTCATCAGGGCCAGGTAGACTTCCTGGAAAAATCAGTTTACGAAATTAAAGGAGGTCTGAAGTGTGAAGCTTCAGGTACAAAGTTATGGAGTTGGGAAATTCAATTACCTGGGTCGGTCATATGTTTTTTCACAAGACACTCGGTAGAATCAGCAGCTATTTTGTTTGGCCTTCCTATGAAAAGTGTCAGTTCACTTTCAGGTAAATGATTCAGTGAATGGCAGCTACAACCGCTGCCAATCATTGGAGCACCTTTTGAAAGGCACCTTTTGTGGGCTCATTAGAAAGGAGATCATCATTGGTAATATTCAAACATTACTAATATCTGAGGCCTTTGTACTCAGATCTATTGCTATCTGACATGTTGCTAACTCATACCTGCCAAGTCTCCCATTTTGGCTGGGAAACTACCATATTTTACCTGTCTTGGCATGCTCCCATATTAGCATTTTCCTGTAAATTTCTTGTATTAGAATAATTACGTCGCAACCCTGCCTCCTGCAGCTTTTCTCTAGAGTAGGAATTCCTAAAGAAAGTCTTACAAATTGTGGGACAAACTTTTTGTCCAAATTATTGCAACAGGTTTACATGTTGCTATAGGAATTAAGGGACTTTTCACCCCCATTTAGACGGGCTTGTGGAATTGTAGGAGCTATTTCTCTATTTTCAGTCAAATCTTAGAATTTAGATTATTTAGTTTATTTTATTTGCTTATTTTCTAATTGATTTATAATTAGAAATTTTGTTTAATACTAGTTATTTAGAATACATTTTTTGGTTACTAATTCACTTAATTAGTTAATTTCAGTTTTGGACATGGGTGTTTCACAGTATAAATACTTAAGTTTTAGGTAGCTCATGCACATGGGTGGTCAAATTGGTCATATAGTTTTTTACCATTTAGTCACTTCAGTTAGTCATCAATCATCAGTTGCCAGTCATCAGTCTACCAGTCAGTCAATCAGTCAGAGAACAGGAGCAGGAATCAGAGCAGGAGAAGCAGCAGAATCCTGTGATTGCCTGAATATGGAATAAAGCAACAAAGAACTGAATTTTAATTTTTTAATTTTTTTTTATCTTTTTGGACTGCGTAAGCCAGAAACCCATGGTGCATCAGGTGACTATTTGAGTTGGATTCACCTTTTGTTTTGATCACCTTTAAGTTTTAAGTTTTTTTATTTTTGAATTTCAGTTTTGGACAAACAGTCACAACACGAATAATATAACCACTCTCAAAAATATGCTGCACAAGTTTTGTTTCTGACACAAGTTACCTGTTTATTGCTTGTCAGGAGGTTCCACAAGTTTCTCACACTTCGAACTATCTATGGCCGCCAAGTGAGATACCCACTAGATCTGCAGTAGGACTGCAGATAAGACCCAAAGTCTGAGGATGAAAACACTGAAGCATTTTAGGCAATATGAGAGCGATATTTCCTGCAATCGCCCTCTCTGAGAGGGAGATAGCAGGAAATGGCATTATTTGCACAACATAAAAGCAACCCAACAACATAAGACCTGATATGAAGGCCAGAGACAAAAGGTTCCGTTACTGCTTCCCACCAGCTATAACAAGCTTAGAATGCTTAGCTCAATACTTAGAATGTGATTACAGTAACTAGAACACACAATAAGACCAGAGGTAAGGTTCTGCTACGAGAGTAGTGAAATGTATTGGTGTATTAATAACCACAGACCAGAAAATAAGTTTAAACTGGCTTATTTATTTAAAAAGAAAGGAAATAACAATATTACAAACAGTTGACATACATTTAACACAAAATTCAATCAAAAATAGTTTCCCTGTTTCTTTCAGAATATTTTGTTTAATCCCTGTTTGGAAATTTAAACCTAATTAAAGGAGTATTAAAGGGGGTATTAAAAGGTCAGGTATTAAATTTTTATTCAACCTAGGTTATTTAATTTCCAGTTAATACTGCTAATCCACTTTGATTTACAGTGTTTTGTCTTTTAAGTCTATTTGAGTTACTTTGTATTTTTTTTAAGAGGTTAAGTTTTTTAATTTCTTGTTTTAATCATTTATTATTTCTATTTTAAACCCCACAGAATTGTTTAAATTTCTGTGGTTTGAAGAAAAATAAAATAAAATAAAATACAACAGAAAACAATTCAGCAAAAGACATGTGCTTCAAATGTAATGTCTTTTTCTCTGATTATCCTGAAGGATTAATCCTGTTTCTCTGACTCCACTGTTAATTCAGCAGCAAGCATGGGCAGTCCATCCATCCATCCATCCATCCATCCATCCATCCATCCATCCATCCATCCATCCATCCATTTTCTATACACCCTAGTCCCTTAGTGGGGTTGTGAAGGTTGCTGGTGCCTATCTCTAGCTAACGTTCCGGGCGAGAGGCGGGGTACACCCTGGACAGGTCGCCAGTCTGTTGCAGGGCTCAGGTCATACCAGTTTGGATGATGCATAACGTCCAGCAGAGGGCGTAGCTCCTGCTAGACGGCAGTTAAAAGGTGCCTTGGGTTACAGCTCGCCATCTTGTTTCTCACTCAGAGAATCCAACTCGGCAATCGACTCGGAATTTCCCGGTCAAATTTTCCAGCAGAACCTTAAAGCAGGGCCGGCCCAGGGCCCTAAGCGAAATGTGGTTTTGGGGCCCTCTAGTTCTGCTAACAACGTGGACTGGCTGCAATCAGAAGACCGATCATTAAATCATTCACTCACCTATAAACTTATTGCATCTCTGGCAATGCTGTTTACATTAAATACATGTATAATATAGGATACATTTATTGCCAACCGGTTTATCAAAAAGTTGATTTCTGGGCATCAATTTCCTTAATTTTGGGGGATTGTGATTGGCCAATAATTACATGTGAAGCCCATCTTATCCCCTAATCTTATCTTCGTCAGCAAAGGTTTAAAATTCAGTTTCTGTCCTCTTCTGCTCTACAGTGAGAGGTTTGACTGACAGACCGGCCCACCAGATCAGGTCTGAATGTTTACAGTTAACAATATTCACCCCACTATTGTAACTCAGTGACTTTCTTGCTATAGTTAGCAACATTTCAAAGAAAAAAAATTAATATCAGCCAAAATCAAAATCGGCAGGTCAGGCTTTTATAAGATCGGTAACCAGGGGATTGGCCAGAAAACTGCAATCGGTGCAGCCCTACACACATATTCATGACATCCTTTGGTTAAATAAATTTCTCTTAAGCGTTACTCCAATAGCTAAAAAATGTATTTTTATCAGGTGAGTCTTTTTTCAACTTAGAAGTTGATGTAAAAATAATGTTTGTTTTAGCCACAAAATGATTATGCTCAGCAGCAAACAACATATCCCCACCTACAGCATAGAGTAGCTCATCAATGTAGCAGCTATGTAGCTTGACGTAAAAACATTTTGCTAGACAATGTCAGACATTGCGAAGTTTTAATTATTATCAGACGTTATCAAACACGGTGTTTTAAAGCCAAAATACCTCAGAAATATACAGAGCAAAACATAAGAATAATGTCATTTAAAGTTTAAGCTTCACACAAACACAAAGACCCTATCATAAATGTTTGGCTGTTGAACTGGACCGTTGGTGGTCGACCGCGGTAAAGCTAGCCGGCTCTGACTCCAGCCGGCCCAGTACACAATATACAAGTGCACGACATTATGGTACACCCATTTACGTGCTGCTTTCACAATAAAAGCGCACATCCGGTCCAAGTTTGAACTACTCAAATCCAGCCGCAGCATTTGCAAACAGAAAATAATATATAAATGCTGAGAAACTAATACAAAAATCCTACCACTTCTGGGTGACAGAGAGACACCTCTAGAACAGAACCAGAAAGTGGCAACCAGATCTGATGTGTAATTTCAAAATAAAACACTATCAAAAGTCATTTTTTTTATCTTTTTCCACTAAATTGCCGTGCTCATTGCTGAGAAACTCTCTGTTTCTAAAGACTGCTACCACTTCTAGGTGACAGACACCTCTAGAACAGAACCAGAAAGTGGCAACTAGATCTGATGTATAATTAGAAAAATCTGTATATAAATAAGATGATTGAGTGAGGCAACTCTTTACATTTTCTACTTATTTTTGTATATAAAAGTAAAAACGTATTGTTTAAAAAGGATTTAATTTTGAAATTATAGATCATATGTGTTTGATATTTTCTGGTTCTGTTCTAGAGGTGTCCCTCTGTCACCCAGAAGTGGTAGGATTCATTGGAAACAGAAAGTTTTTCAGCAATGAGCACGGCAAATTAGTGGGAAAAAAGTAAAAATTTGATTGTTCATTAGGTTTTTATTGTTGAAATAACACATCAGATCTGGTTGCCACTTTCTGGTT